GGTTGCTTGCAACTCATACCGACCCGTGTACAACAGCCCTATACCCTGCTCTGTCTGTCTACCCTCATTACCCCAGTCATTGAATTAAACCATCTCATCAAAGGTCTTCCTCTCTTGTGCTGTCCCTCCACCCTCCCTAGCATGATGTCCCTCTCCTTGCAACACGTCCAAAGTATGTCAAGGAGCAGCCTGCTTCCACCCTCTTTAGGATGAACCTGTTTGTTCTACTGGCAGTCCATCGTATATTTAATACTATTCTCCAGCACCACAGCACAAAGGCATCAATTCTCCTATTATCCCTAGTCATAGTCTAGCTTTCTGATACCTAGCAAGTAATTGCAAAGACCATGGCCTGAATCAGGTGCACCGTAGTCTCCAGACATTTTTGCTCTTTAGCACGCTGGAAAGGTCTCTGACAGCAGACTCTCCAACTGACTTCCCTAATATGCCCCAATCTCTATACCACACTGTGAAAGCCTATGAGTCAACAATCAATGTCAAACCCAATGACTGGTGGGAGTTCAGGAGCATGCGAGGGTGGCATGTCTGACCTAGCAGCTACCTGACTGCTTCTATGGAGATTACTGATAGGGCCAGTTCCCCCTTGTGAAAAGGGCAGAAATCAAACATGGTCACTCCTATGTTGTGGCATCCACTCTTTTGGCAGTGGTCTTTGAGGTCTGGTAGGGTAGCCTTAGTTGTGCTGCTAATCCAAAGGTGGCACTTCTCTGGTGGTTCAAATCCACCAGCATCTCCAAGAGAGAAAGATAAACAATCTCCTCCCAGAGCCTATTGAAAATCTGAAGGGTCTGTTATGAGAGTCAATGTCACTGAGAGAGTGAGGGGAAACAATTACTTCCAGAAAATGGTATTGTTTTTGTATGCTGTCAGGCTGATTCCAATTCACAGTGACACTAAAGAACAGAGTAGCAGTGAAAGGGTTTCCAAGAGCGTAATATTTATAGGTGCAGTGAAGTCTTTTCCTCAGGGCGGCAGTGTCCCAAGGGGGATGGAACTGATCATCTCCCTGCACCACCAAGATTCCTTCTATAAAATATTAACTGAATTATAATTGAGATTGAATTTTAAATAGTTGTTACTGTTAGACACCTTCGAGTCAAGTACGACTCACATTGACTCCATGAACACCTGAACTGAGCCCTGCCGTATCCTGTGCCTTCCTTATCATTTCTGATAACACTTGAGCCTATTACTGCAGCCACTGTGTCAACCTATCTATCTAGGGGTCTTTCTGTCTTTCGCTGACCCTCTCTCTATATTTCTAAGCATGATGTTTCTTTCCAAGGAATAGCCTCTTCTAGCAACATGCCCAAAATATGGGAGATGAAGCTTCATCATCCTAGCCTCTGGCTGCACTTTTTCCAAGACATAAATAAGGCCCTGGAATTCAAAGTAACTTAAAAGGATGACAAACATTATAGTCCATCCAAAATGGTTATGTGAAAAGAATGAACAGATTTAAAAAAAAAAATTATACAAAAATATTCCAAAGATTGAAGAACAATTCATTTGTAGTTATTGTTAGATAGCCAAGTCATTTCAAACTCATAACAGAAGAAAACATTGTGTTCCTATACTACACTGTTACAGTCCCTGTGCCATTCCATCTCCAAAGTATAGATGTACTTCACCATCAATTTTAAGAAGCATTGTGACTATAATTCTTCCAATTACGGATTTGTTCACTCTTCTGGTAGTGCTTATGTTCAATAGTCTCACAAATATCATAATACAAACATATCAATTCTGGTCTTTATTCATTGTTCAGCTTTAGCATGCATGTGCAATACATCTTGCCCAGCGTACGTCTTACCTAGCGCTTCTATAACAGAGATCTCGAAATGGAATGGCTTTTAAAAAGAGAAATTTATTCTTCCTGTTGAGGAGGCTAGATGTACAAATTCAGGGTACAGACTCCAAGGATTTCTGTGACTCTTGGTTCCAGAAACTCCCCAGTAATCTGGGTCTAAAGGGCACGTTCCACTTCTCTTTTTCCTTCTTGATAGTTCTGGGGTTCCCCATTTCTGTTGATTTTCCCTGTTTTTATCTCCTGTGATAAAAGATGTTACAGGCTACACTCCAGGGAAAAACCCTTTACATGGGCTGTGACGGTATCAAGGATGTCACATTACTCTCCTAATTCTTTACAACTGCTTGCTTGGTTTATCAGATCACGGAGGAATAATTATGTAACTTCAACACTGTATCATTACATGCATGTATTCTGGGGGAACTTGGTTCAATCCATGGCAAAGTGACTGAACACACCATGGCTGGGGTCAGTAACACCGTAGTTCTCAATGTGACATCTATGCTTTTTAAATACTTTAAAGAGGTCTTTTGTAGCAGAAGCACAACCTGGAGCCATATGACACTGCAGTTAATAACTTAGGAGTGAATTACGGTGTGAAGAATTGATACAGGGATTGCCTGGATACTGACATTCAACCTGCTTTTCTTCTATGTTGTGAGTTTTGCTAAAAATTATGTTTAAATATTCAGTTGTTTTAACAGACCTAATTCTTTGGTTCTTTGGGGAACGACTTAAAAACAACACAAAAGGGAGAAAAGGTCCTTTTCAACTGTGTAAGGAATAGTTTAACAATTTACAGCTAGTATTTGTGTTAAGTTCAATCTGATGGCTAATTCTTAGGATGTACATATACACTAGGGAGCTTTGGTGGTCTAGAGGTAAGGAGTTGCACTGCCAACCCAAAGGCACACTGTTCAAATTCACCAGCTGCTCTACAGGAGCGAAATAGAGAAAATCAGCTAGCCTGTTAGCTAGGAGTCTGTTTCTACTCAACAGCACAAAACAACATCTTAACTACTGTATATTTAATCACACAAATCCTATCATTTGTTATAGATACAACCCCTTCCACCCTCATATTACTGTTACAGCTGTGTTCTCTAACATGATCTCAACTATGCCTGGGTAGTCTACAGAAAGGACAAAAAAACACAGCTTCAAGAAGGATTTCTCCAGCTGCAGAGTGATGGGCTCCTTTAATCTCTGCTCATATAATGTAATGATCTGCCTGGCTCACTACCTCCCCTTTTCTTGTACTTTGAAAACTTGCTGTGGCTTGAGAAGTCAATTCTTTGAATAATCACTTGCTAGCTTCCTAATTTGGTCCCACACAGTTGTAAAAAAGAATTTCAGTCTTTGCCTACTAACAATTCCTTACCGAACACACAAATTCCAAAGGAGACAAATCTTTGATTAAGTGCCTACCAGAACATTGTTTAGTGGTTAAATATAAACATACTGTACCAAGACAAATCATCAGGTTCACAACCTCTTATTGCTACAGGCAAAAGATTTTTAGCTCAAACACCAATAACAGTTTTCATGAAAGAAGAACTAAAAGAATCTATTTATCCTTTCTGATCAGACATCACAGAAAAGTCAATTCTGATTACAGCAGCGGACCTAGCTGGACATTCCTAATCACTCCAGATTTAAAGATGCCTCCCACTTTCCTCTCTCTCTTGGACCATTACACCAAGCCTAGATCAGTACTACACCCACCTTCAGGCTAGGAGAAACAACAATAATAGCTTATTGATCTCTGGTGTAAACCCAAACCCACAAGTCATCAAGCAAGTAGGGACCACGGCCACTTGATGGAACTAAATATCAAAAGTCATGCACTAGGTTTTCTGGTCACATACAAACGCATGACAGACAAAAGTCAAATCAAATGTGGACCAAGCTCAATAAACCTTAACTCCATCAGGCAAGGGAGTTAACACATTCCAAGCTACAAGGTTTTCCTATTACTAGTTCTTAGCTGCAGACACAGGCCAATTAAGTTCATTCAATTCTTCACCTAGCATAATTTCTGATAATGTAAAAGTTATCATTTCATTCAACCCCAGAAACAAATGCTTTCTAAATAAATAGTATTTGTTCTCGAATTATATGGTGACAGAAGAACATCACCACCACCATCATTATCTTAGCCAAATCAGTGTTTATGGCAAACGACTCTGACTTTTTTTATAAGTAGATTTTATCAAATGGTAATTTCTAGGTCTTTTCCTCCGAAGCAATCAAAGCATCACTCCAAAAAGTAAGAGTAGCCCTGTCTCCTCTGACATCCCTAACCAACTGCACTAATACATAAGTCTCTCAACAATGTTGTTTTGGGTTTGGTCGTCCCCCGTCCCCCCCCCCCCCATTAAGTCGATTTAGCTCTTGTCCCGGCGCCCAAGGTACCAGAAAGCTCAGTCGTCACAGCCTTTGAGTCTTACCCTCCAAAGGATGCATCTAACCCTTTTTAACAGCTTGGGGTGGAGGGCGACCGTAAAGTGACAGCACTGGGAGACAAAGAGGAAGGAATGACAACTCAAGTAGGAGCCAGGGGCAGACGTCTGCACCCAAAGAGAGAAGAGCCTGAGATGAGGCTGGAAAACTATTTTCTGGCCTCCGCTGCTTCCAGGGGAGAGAACAGGATCCTGCACGCCCAAGATTAGAGACTCTGCCCCCGAGGGGGAGAGCGGGGAGCCTGCACCCCCTGTTTTGCCAGCGAGAGAGGAAGGCGAGGGGTCGGTGCGCTGGCGATTCCACACGAGACAGAACTTCTCGACGACCCAGGACGGGGAGGGGGCGGCAGCACCGTCCCGACGGCGGCGGGGGCAGTCGCCCCCTTTTTTACACACATTTCCCCGCGTGGGGACTGTGCAACCGGGACCCCCTCGAGCCCAAGTCGGGGTACAAGTTCGACAGTTCCCCCACCCCCGGGACCCCCAGTCCCTCTCCAGCACCCTTCGGGTGGGCGAAGAGACGGCAGTATCCTCAGTCCCCAACCTCGCCGCAGCCTCTACCCCTCGGCCGGGTCTTTGTCCCGCAGCCGGCTTGGGGGTCTCTCTCTGAGTCTCCTGGGGAGGACCCCCCCCATCCTGGAGGCCTCGGAGCCCCGGGTCGCCCCAGCTTTGTTCGGTCAGCAGGGCGAGGGGACGTGGACACTCACCGTACACCCCCGAGAGGAAAAGCAAGACCAACGTAGACCTCCACCACGGAGACTCTTTTGTGCTCCAGCGACGGGCCATAACCACGGCAGATGGAGAGAGCGGAGAGGAGGAGGAGGAGGCGATGGAGGAGGAGGAGGAGCCGGGGCCAGACGCCGCCGCCGCCGCCGAGCCCCGCTGCTCCCTGCGCTCTGCGCGGCCGCCCGAGGGGGAGGGGAGGGGCTCCGCCGTCCGCTTGCGCTCGCTCCCTCCCGCCCGCGCCCCCCGCGCCCCCCACCCCCGCGCCGCGACAGTCCCCCGGCGGAGCAGCCCTCCCCAGGTCCGGGGCCGGCAGCTGGCGCGCGCCGGCGCGAAGCGATGGGGGCAGCGAACGCGAGACTCCGGCCTCGCGCCGCCAAGCCTGGCCCCCGCCGCCACCCGCCAGACGGAGCGCGAGCCGGGAACCGCGCAGATCCGTGCGCTCGGCAATCCCCTCGCCCGCCTGCCTTGGTTCCCGCCCCGCGCTCCGCAGGACTTTGGGAGTCGGGGCCGCTTCTCCCCGCGCCGGGAGCCGAGGAGCCAGGCAGTGGCAATCGATGAGCGAGCACGCGAACGCCGGCCACTGGGTTTCCCGGGGTTGGGACGCGGGGGCGGCTTGCGGAGCTCAGCCGCAGTCTGAGGCCTGGGTGCCGGCCCTGTGGGTGGCGTGGGGGCGAGTTGGAAGACCGAAGGTGGAGAGAAAGGGCGGGAGGTTGGAGGCTGGGAACTTAAAGAGTTCTTTTCTCGCTCCACTTAATACTGGCACAGAGCTCGGGTTAGACGCGGACGGGGCCATAGAAGGAGCCCGGTGTGGATGCCCACGCTCGGGGTACCGGGGAGAAGTCGGGCCGGGCTAAAATGTACAACTCCCCTAGTCTGATGTAGAAACCGAGGGCGGCTGTGCGACTTCACTGTGGAGCTTGGAGCGAGAGGAGGATGCACACCTGGAGCCGACTTTGGGGATCAAGTAGTGGGAGGGGGATTCGCTCAGCACTCCCTGATTTCTCTAAACTGCGTTCTGTTAACAGTGTGACTCCCTGCACTTCCCCCTTAGACCCCTTTGCACTTTCTAAATACATCTGGCACTGACTCATCAGACCTGCCGCCTTCAAATTTTGGGTTATAATATCTTCCGTACTAATTCATCTTTGGCCCTTGCTATTAATTGAAGACTCAATAAAGCACTAAACTGCCCTGTAGAGGTAACAGGTTAGCTCTCCATTTCAAAAACCTTGGAAATACTGTTATCACAGTTAAGAAAATGAGACTCCAAAAGGTTAAATTAACCAAAATGATGTAACAGGTAAATGGTGGAGCCTGGTTTGAACCGGTTTTTCTCATTTCAAATCCAGGCTTGTCTCTTTCCCCACATTAACAATGCTTAGTTCTCAGGAAGTAATCAGTAAGTTAATACGAACACATACTTTTTTGAGGTATTATTTTAGATTTGTCTTCCATCTTCTATCTATTTGTCATCTTTAAGGCTTTTTGTTTCCCCAAGAATTGTTATTACAAAAGATAAACTTTTAAAAAATATAAAAGCTACCAGCACACCCTTTATCATCCAGGAAAAACGCCAAAAATATACTTCCACTAATGTTTTCTACTCCCAGTGGAGAAAAAACCAGCTTCATTGTTCCTTATTAAAGAATCACTTTTCATGATTTTAGGATTGCAGATTCCACTTGCTTGCTTTTTTATGAGATCACCTGTAAATTGTTCCTGAAACCAGCTCTCTTTAGGACAGGCCATGACATACCAAAAAAAAAAAAAAATGGAGAGGCAGAGAGATGGGGCTGCTGCTTCTCCCAGCGTTTAATACCTTACCAGGAACTTTATCTCAAAGACAAGACTAAAAATGCTTTCATCTGCCTTGGTTATCCATACTCCCTCTCCTCCCACCTCCCCCTCATTTTTGTCATCTTGAACTAACCTAAGTTCCCCTTTAACATTTAAAATTTAGTGAGGACTCCAAAGAGCTTTTGTTTGTATGTTGCTGTGGCTGCCAAGGAGATACTGACTCATTGTGACCCTATATGACACAGTAGCAGTGTCCCACAGGGTTTGTAGCCTGAAACTTTTACAAGAGAGAATGGTTGTGTTTTCTCAGGCAGAGCTGCTGATTGGTTTGAATCATGGACATTAATGGGAAGAGCCACCAAGCTCTTAATCATAGCACCACCAAGGCTCTCTTTTTGTTTATATAGGTCATATTCAAGCAGTGATTTTCCATATCAACTGTTATGTATCTAAGATCTGGACTATGAATGAAGATAACAGAAGAGAATCTTTGCCTTTGAGTTGTATTGGAGAAGAGTATTCAATATCTCATGAACTGCCGCACACACACACATCACAAACACCCAGATATGTCTTGGAGAAGGTGCAGCCAGAGTGCCCCTTAGAGGCAAAGATGGCAAAGCTTTGTTTGACTCAGCGTGGGCATGTTGATAGGAGAGGCTATTCCTTGGAGAGTGACATCATACCTGGAAAAGTGGAGGGTCAGTGAAGAACAGTAAGACCCTTAGTGAGATGGATTGATACAGTGACTTGCAATGAGCTCAATTGTGTCAGGAATATGGACTGTGCAGGAAAGGACAAGGTTCAGATTTGTTGTCCATAGGATCACTATGAGTCGTAGGCTCTAAACTTGACTTGAAAAAACTGACTTGAAGGCTCTAAAAACAATAACCTATTGATAGCTGTCATCTGTTGTTGTTATGGGTCATTGAATCATTGAACAGACTCATAACTGACCCTCCAGCAGGTTTTGAGAGGCAGGAAATGACACTGGAGGAGAGGGCCCATCTTTCTTCCAAGAAGCAACTGATGGATGTGAATGGAATGCCTTTGGGTTGACACAACTCCTTACCCACTCGGTGATCCCAGCTCCCTACCTATCATTTAGAAAGAAAATAAAAATGTCAGATATCTTCCACAACCAGGAGACGGTAAAATAGATGAATGGGACCTTCTAAGAATCTAATCCCTATGCACATCAATAAACTTCTCCAGCGTGGTAAAAGGGGAAGCCACACTGGGAAAAAATAATTGGTAATGACATGTCAAATAAGGGACTTGTATCTAGAATTTATAAAATACTCAAGCACCACAAGATAAAGGTAAACAACCCAATTGAAAAATGGGCACAGGATATGAATAAAAGAAGACATTCAGATGGCCAACAAGCACGTGAAGAAATGTTCAAAATCCCTAGCTCTAAGAGATGCAAATCAAAACAACTGTGAAATATCATCTCACCCTACTAAGAATAGCAACATTTAACAGAACAGCAAATACCAAATGCTGGTGAGGTTGCAGAGAAACTAGAACCCTTATTCATTGTTGTTGGGAGTGTAAAATGGTGAAACACTGTGGAAGGCTGTATGGTGCTTTCTCAAAAAGTTGCAAATAGAGATACCATTTGACCCAGCAATTCCACTATGGGGAATAAACCCTAAAGAAACCATAACTGCCACTCAAGCAGATATTTGCACACCTATGTTTATTTCAGCTTTGTTTACAATAACAAAGAGTTGGAAATAACCCAAGTGCTCATCAACAAATGAATGGATAGAGAAGCTCTGGTATATTCACACAATGGAACACTGTGTTGCATTGAAAAACAAGGAACTCATAAAATATTATACAAAATGGGTGACCCTGGAGGACATTATGCTGAGTGAAATATCTCAGTCACAAAAGGGCAAATATTGCATAGTGCCACTGCTGTAAAATGAGACTGACATTGGGGTTGAGGGAAGACTGAGAAAGATGGGATAAATACTGAGAAAGAGGGATAAATAATGTATACTGCATTTAAACACATGAGGGAAAGAACTGTTTAAAAGGGATATATGATTAGGTATAATTGTCATAACAGGAGTCCAGAATGAAGGCTGCCTGGTGGAGTGGACTTCGGGGGAGGGATTGTATAACAATGAAAGAATTTTTCTTTTTCAAAGAGAAGAATGAATGGGGTGGGGGAGTTGGCGGGGAGAAAAAAGTGCAACAATGAATGAATGGAAATCCTAAGTCTCTGTAAACTTTCATTAAAGTTAATAAAAAAATGCCAAATATCTGTAAATACATTTGAAATTAAAAATTCCACTGAATGTTACTATACATAATACTTTTAACTAAAAATATTTTCTAAAATGTAAATATTTTCTACAAAGAATAACATTTTCCACCTTCATAAATCTCTTTAATGTCTAGTTTAATTGAAAAATAAAACTCAACCACATTGTGAGTCAGAATCAATTTATGATGGACTCTCAGATTTTCCAGAAGCAGTAAATTAATGGGAGCAGCTTGCCTGTCTTTCTCTTGCAAAGGTGCTGATGGATTGGAACAGTTAGAGAGGCACCACCTTCAAGTTAGCATCACAGCCTCGGTGGACTATGTCACCTAAGTTCACTAGCTTCTCGTATTTGCTTCTGTATCAAATCTGTTGGAAAGTATTGTGGTTGATGTGTTTCAGGAGAACCTAGACTCACAAAGATAACTGGCAAAAGGTGGGTGTCAAGACACATACCCCACTGAGATAACAAGGACACTTGCCTCCCAGGGTCTTCAGATAAGATTTTAAGAACTATTGATTTTAGATCCAACTTCCTTGGAAATCCAAGTCTTTTGTTTATCATTAGAAAGGATCTAATAAGTAGTCCTTCTAGACTACTTCTGATTTCCTCCTGGTTTATAAAATCCTGTTATTTGTTCTGTAATACAGTCTCTGAGCACTGGTTGGCCTAGTGGCAAGAAGTGGCACTGAAATGCCAAAGGCACACAGTTTGGATCCACCAGCTGCTCCCTCGACTGGAGAAGGATGGGCAGTCTTCTCCCACGCCGTTAACTGCCACTGAAAACCTGCCAAAGGGTCAGCTATGCGTCGGTTCTGACTCGATGGTACCCAACAACAATTATGTATTTCCATTCTGAGAATATCTTTTGTAAGAGTGTTATTTATAAAAAAAATCTAATTCTGATAGGATATCAGATTTCAATAAGCAGCATGGTACAGAATAATAGAAATTGTCTAGATTGAATTTTATCTCTCAAAAAGTTCTGTTGACTTCCTAAAGTCATTATTTGTATTTATAGATATAAATATGACCTTATTTGGACTCCCTGGTTCATGCAAATAGTTAACATACTTGGTTTCTAAGT